TGTACTTTGGGCCTAATAAATTCTGATCTGGGCTGATTGGTACTTCTCCCTTTATCAGGAGCACTTCAAGGCAACTGAACCAGGTAAACTGAATCTTGAGCTCAGCCCTCCCAAATGGGCCCTAAGGCCCCTAACCAATAAGCTTCCTAAGGAGCTCTATGCTCACTATGAACCCTGCTAGGAAAGTTACCGGGCTGTTTCCATGTATTTATATATATTTTACATGGTTTTCTCCATTTTCTTTTCTGATGCATGTTTGTTTTTTTTTTTTCTTTTTTTCTCTAATTAAGGAACATGTTCCCTATAGTATGATATTAATGAAACAATAAAGAAAAAACATATAGTCTCCCATTAAGTGAACCCACTTCTTAGATCTGATGCAGTTTTAATTTCAATTAGATTCCCATGTGAGAGTAACCCAGTAATTAGTGCCATATAAATAACATTAATTACTGATTATTACAGTAATTTAATAAATATATAATTAGTGATTATAATTAATAATTATCGTTATTATAAATATTGTTAATAAATAGATATTTACTTTAATTTTATTTTAAATTAAAATTATAAATATTGTTATTAAATTTAGTAACTATTGTTATATTAAAAACAATTAAAAATGTTATTACAAGTATTGTTATTGATTATTTAATAAAATATTATAATTACTGACTATTACTGATAACTACTGTTAATTTAATTTAAGTTTGGTAATTAGTAATTTAATGAATATTGTTAATAAATTCTATTCATAAATTTAATATTTACTGTTATATTAAAAATAACTAAATAATATTATTAAAACTATCATTAATGATTATTTAATTAAGTAGTATAATTACTTACTATTATTGATAAATGTTGTTAATAATGTTCTGACAACTGACAGTTCAACCGTCCGATTCGAACGGATAGCCCGTTCTGACAACAAAAATTATAGAACCATTCTGGCCATCGGTTTTCGGGTCGATGGTTCGATCATCTGGTTCGAACGGACGGTTCGTTCTGACAACAAAAATTATAGGCAAAAAATTGAGTTTGTGAGGTTCATTAAGTTGTATCATACGTGTTACGTCATTCAAGCATGTGACTCATATGACCCGAAAACGAAATCGTTCTGGCCACTGGTTTTTGGGTCGATGATTCGACCATTCGATTTGAACGGATGACCCGTTCTGACAACAAAAATTACAAGCAAAAAATTACAGAACCGTTCTGGCCACCGGTTTTTAGGTCGAGGGTTCGATTGTCCGGTTCGAACGAGCGACCCATTCTGACAACAAAAGTTATAGGCAAAAAATTGAGTGTGTAAGGTCCATTAAGCAATATCATACGTGTTATGTCATTCAAGTGTGTGACTCATACAACCCGAAAATGGAACCGTTCTGACCACCGGTTTTTGGGTTGACAGTTCGACCGTCCGGTACGAATGGATGGCCCATTCTGACCACAAAAATTAAAAAAAAACAAAAAAACAAAAAAAATGGCCAAAAACCATTGAACGGGTCAATGGGTTAACGGTTCAACCACTCAGGTCAATGGGCCGTTAATCGATTCAATGGTTTTTGGCCAGGGACCGGGATTGGGGTAAAACGGAACTGGTTGATTGGATGGTTCCCAATTAAAAGAAAAAAAAAGACAACCCGTTCTGATAAAAAAATTACAGGCAAAAAATTGAGTGTGTAAGGTCCATTAAGTAGTACTATACGTGTTATGTCATTTGAGCGTGTGACTCGTACGACTTGAAAACGGAACCGTTCTGGCCACCGATTTTTGGGTCAACGGTTCAATTGTTCGGTTCAAATGTATGGCCCGTTTTGACAACAAAAATTAAAAAATAAAAAATATATCCAAAAACCATTGAATGGGTCAATGGTTCGACCGCCTGGGTTAATGGGTCGTTGATTGATTCAATGATTTTGGCCAGGGACCAAGATTAGGATAAAACGGAACCGATTGCCTGGATGGTTCCTAATTAAAAATAATAATAATAAAAAATAGTCAAAAACCATTGAACTGGTCAACGGTTTGATCGCTTGGATCAATGGATCATTGACCGATTCAACAGTTTTTGACCAAAGACTGAATCAAAAGATCAACAGTTCCACTCCACTCCAGCCCTTGCTAAGCAGGGCCCCTCCGCCAGTACTTCTATTTATAATGATAAAGCTAATTCGTAGAGGCTCTTTTGATCTTAATCTAAATAGTGCTTTGAATGTTAACCAAGGTTATGCTTGGATTCATAGAAAAATAAGGTAGAAAGATAAAGCTGAGGTGAAGTTCTTAAAACTAATTAATCTTGTCAAATTCGTTATCTCAGTTTGGGAAGAGTATAATAAATACAAATATGTATAGTGTAAATATATATAAAATACAAGGTTTTTGCACTTTATATATTTGCATTTGTACTCTTACCAAATAGTCATAAGAATTTTTTCCTCAAATTTCCGTTTCACTCTCATTTTCTATCAAACCAAACAACCTTGTTATAAACTTATGCAACCATCCCTGAGTAAATAAAGAAATATAATTGAATACTGGAAAATGCATTTGTGAGAGACGTGTATCATTCTGTGGGATATATTGCATGTCCCCGCTCCCCATCGTTAGATTTTCTAGCTCTCAACTATAAATTATTGATCAAATAAAAGGTTCTGATCAATTCAACTCTTCAAGATCTGTAGAGCCAAAAGGTAGGACGTTAGAAGATGGAAAAGAAAAAGAAGAAAGCAGAAATGAATAAAATATTCCTTAATGGGTATATCTACTTTCAAGGTTCATGACTGAATTTTCACGAACACCTGCGATTGGTTAAGCTTTTCAAGCCAGAATTCTGTTAACTTCTTCTTTCTCTTTGTTACTTCAAATAGACCTCCCTTAGTTAACCATGAAACTTATCACCTACTCCACTATTGTGTTTAACGTGTTAGTGGGTTTCTGGGTTTAGCTCAATTTTGATTAGTAACTGAATTGCAGTAGTACTCTCTTCTGGGGTGAAATATGAAGACCCACGTTTTCATGGATTAATGCTCTTCATCATAGCGAGTTCACCAGAGTTCAAAAGACTAACAATAAGAACAGCTCCACCTGATGAGAAAATATATTTATTTGTCTTAAAACAAGAGAGGGGTTTCAATGAAATGAAACCCCTGAAAATGTATTTTTTTAATTGGGATGATTCACCTCAAAAATCTGAAATTACAGTCACCTCTTAATCTACTGAACTATAAAACCCTTTATTATTTTGGGTTTCAAGGAAATTTAGAGAATTTTGAGATGCCATTAACATCTCAAGCAGTTTAATTCAAATGACTTTCTTTCCTTTAACTAAAAATTAATCATCCTCAAGTTTATCCAATGTCAGTAATCCCTTTGACTCCAACACTTCAATACTTGGTCGAGCTCTTTTCTAAGACCAATCAGGTCTAAGTGGGAAAGCTAGCTTTCTTCTTGAAGCCATGTTAAAGCAGTTAATTAATGGAAAAATTAATAATTGTGGAAGTAGGCATCATCACATATTTGACACTTTGAGGGAATCCACTGGTAGCCATGCTCGCCCATCCCACATAACAATTAATATAATAAAGTGTATTTTGTCAAGGGAAAATTCCCGATTAGTACTCTATATTTTGGGTCTAGTGACATTTTGGTCTCTAAATTTTAAAACACAACAGTTTAGCATCTGAACTTTCAAAACGTGTCAATTTGTACCTACCGTTAACCAACTGTTAATCAGCCATTAAGTAGCATTTGAAAAAGACATAAGTGCCCTTCGAGTGTCATCTAATTTTCTTGATCAATCATCCAAACGTTGACAAAAAATTTAACAATCCCAAATCCTTGCCTCTTTTATTCAAGAAAGTTGGGGTCACCACTTTGTTAATATTTGGATAATTGGATGATTTATAAAGAAAATTAGATGACACTCAAAGGGCATTTGTGTCTTTTTCAAATGTCATTTAATGGTTGATTAACAATCGGTTAACAACAGGTACTAGATTGACATGTTTTAAAAGTTCGGGTACTGAATTGTTGCATTTTAAAGTTTGGGGACCAAAGTGACACTAGGCCCAAAGTACAAGGTACTAATTGAGAACTTTTCCTTTTGCTAATTAAATTTAAGTTACATTTGGGAGTGTGTAAAAATAAGTGCTTGTAATTAGAATAAACATTTTATTTTGGGTTGGGATCACATTAATAAGCACTTATTTTCATTTGGAAAATAAGTCTGAATAAGTGCTTATTTGAAAAACCTAAATTATAAGCTTAACCTTAAGTGCTTATTTGCTTTCTGACTTATCTTAGTCCATCATGCCATTTTGAAAATACTTATCATATGGTTATCATTAGAATAACCACTCCCAAACTTCACCTTATATACACATTGTAATTGTAATAGAGACTAGAGAGGTTTTATTTTTGCTCTTTATCAGTTTGAAAGCAATACAAATGTAAATATATAAAGTATAAATACATACAAAATATAAGGTTTTGCACTCTACATATTTACATTTATACTCCTTCCAAACTCAGCAACCCACCCACGCCATAAGACATTTGGTGTAACCGTTAGAGAGCGATATGAACAGTTATAATTAATCATTTTGGTCGGATTAGTGGAAAAACTTTGGCTGTTGGGAGCCAACAGCCTTTCCTGCTGTTGAGAGAGTTTCTGGATTGGGCATATAGACAGCCGAAGTTTGATCCCTTCTGCATTCCAATTTCCAACACATCAAGACTGACTCTCTCTCTCTCGGACATATATTACGTGTAGTTCGGATCTCTCTTTCGGACATATTATTACATATAGTTCGGATCTCCTGCAACTACGTATAGTTCGGATCTCCTGCAACTACGTATAGTTGGGCTCATCCAATCATACCACGTCTGAGAGTCTAAGACCTCCACTCTGCGGTCCTCTCTATATATACCCTTCTTCGCTTCTTACACCTTAAACACTCGATCTCTCTCTCTGGGTGTACGCCGTGTGCATCGCCATGGGAAGCCGTCGTGAGGTCGTTCACAAGGTGAACTTTTCTGACCCAAGAAGCTTCGCATCCTCGTTCAAATCTGATCTGAAGGAGACCTTCTTCCCCGACGACCCCTTCCGGCAATTCAAGAACCAACCACCACTTGGGCGAGCGAAGAAGGCCGTCCAATACTTCTTTCCTGTATTCGAATGGTTGCCGAAATACAATTTCCGTCTATTCCAGTACGACCTGCTCTCCGGGATCACCATTTCTAGCCTTGCAATCCCTCAAGGGATCAGTTATGCTAAGCTCGCTAGCCTACCACCAATCATCGGCCTATGTGAGATGCTGCTTCAATCTTTCTCTGTTATTCATCGGTTTGATCTCCACTAGTCGAAATCTGACTAATGGGTTATCTTCTGTTCATTGAAATACGCTGGATTGATTCATGACGGTGAGATTCTCTGTGTTGCAGATTCGAGCTTTGTACCTCCTCTCATTTACGCCGTTTTCGGTAGTTCCAAGGATCTTGCTGTTGGGACTGTAGCCGCTGCATCGCTGCTCTTGTCTTCAATTATAGGTGGAGTAGCACCACCCAAAGACGATCCAACATTGTATCTTCATTTGATGTTCACCGCTACTTTTTTCACCGGTGTCTTCCAGACAGCTCTAGGCATCTTCAGGTGAGAGAGAGAGAGAGAGAGAGATAGAGACTTTGGTCTTATTGTACGTTTTGCCTTCTACTCTGCATGGACGTGAGTGGTGAAAGGAAAATCGCTTTGTTTACAGACTTGGGATCTTGGTGGAGTTTTTATCGCATTCCACCATCACAGGCTTTATAGGAGGAACAGCGACAATTATCTGTCTGCAACAGCTGAAGGGCTTGTTTGGATTGAAGCATTTTACGTCGAAAACTGACGTAATTTCTGTAATACATGCGATCTTTAAAAACAGAAGCGAGGTCTGGCCATCTTACTTCCAGCAGCTAGCTCTTTTATTATTCATTCAAGGAAAAAAGGCTTGAATTTTCACAATTAATTAATTAATTGAATTCACTAATTACTTTCTTACGTTGTTGAAGTGGAGATGGGAGAGTACAGTTATTGGTGTCGTCTTCCTTATGTTCCTCCTCTTGACCAAATCCCTGGTGAGGATCGATCTTAGACAGTTTCTTTCTTTTTCAATTTTCCTCAAATTTCCTTGCTTTTTTTATGGAAAAGTAGCAATCAATAAGCATAAATAATGCAGAGGAACAAGAGGCCAGATCTGTTCTGGGTCTCAGCAATGGCACCAATGGTGACTGTGGTTGTGGGCTGTCTTTTCGCTTATTTTGCCCATGGAGAGCACGGAATTCAAATCGTTAAGTCGTCCATATCTCTTATTTTTTTCTCCCTTGTCTATCTAATTATATCCTTGTTTTCGTTATTAATTATATAATTGCTCCTCTTAATCTCTCTGTGCCACCATGCTAAGGCCCTGTTTGGGAGTGCTTTTTTAATAAACAAGTGTTTATTCTAATAATTGCTTATGAGTGTTTAGTGAAAAAATGCTTCTTTTAAACAGGGTAGGATGAACATTTCAAAAATTGTGTGACAGGGCAAAAGAAGCCACAAACACAAAAATCACTTTTACAAAAAGTGTTTGAAATAAGATAAAATTTTGGGAGAAGTACCAATCAGCCCATATCAGAATTTACTAGGCTCAAAGTACAGGGGGAATGCATCCTGACCTGAATTGATGCCAAATTCATGGGCAGGATGTGGTTTATAGGGGGAGAGGGCTAGTTATAGAGGGGGTTGGAATTCAGAATTCTGCATCCTATGTTTCCGTACTTTTCCCTAAAATTTTAGGCTTATTCAAAATGGGCTTATTTCCTCAAAAAGTGTTTATTTAAACTTATTTTTCAAATACATGTAAGTGATTATTGATGTGGTCCAGGCCTAAAATAAGTATTTTTTTTCAACAAGTACCGGCAAACACAACATAAATGTCTACTGTGAATGAGACGAGATATACTACCAATAAAAAACTCTTTCCAACATTATCTATATCTGCACACATGTCAACCTAAGACTGGGATTCATCATGTTTGAGATGTGTTGACATCATGTTGGAAGCATTGGAATGGCTGTTTGTTGAGAACATAGATTTCTTATTCACTTTTTCTACCCATGAATCGCAACCACATGTCTCACAATTCAATATGGCGATATATGCTGCAATTCATAGCCGGTAGAGTGTGGGTAAAGAGTAGTGGGCAAGAAATCCGGTTTGGGATGGACTAAGTACCAACTGAGCCCAAAGTGATGGGACTAAGTACCCGATCAAACTCGGCCAATTTAACACCGCTACCCACCCTTGTCATTGAGTTGTATAAGTTATAAAGTTCTTTATCCTTGATTCATCATCCATCATGCAGTCTTATTTGCGTAGTTGGGTTTGTATTTTTAGATAAAGGTGATCCAACCCTAATTCAATTAGTTAGGGATGGTAATTTGTCCCATTTTTCCTATTCATGTGGGGATTCGTCCCGAATGGGGTGGGGATGGGGATATTTTTCCCTCACGGAAATGGGGATGAAGAAATTTTCATCCTCATTAGCAGGGATGGGATATATATATATGTATGTATGTACACATACATCTATATATTAATATTTTTAAAAATATGGTTGAATATGTTTGAATCTTTTCTAATAGGATTGTAAATTTTAATTATTTTATTTTT